TTCGGATATCAAATCAAAGTTATACACTTAATATTTGACTGTAACCAATTTCTTCCTAATCTGATTCCCCAACTAAGTGAAATGACTGTACCAGAGCTAGAGTTAACTTTAGCCTTCCTTAGCTCAACAAGCACTCTATTGTGGCTGATCCCACAAAATTAAAAAGTTGTTAACTAATCACGAAAATATTTTTAATGTTGACCATTACCAACATACTAATCTAAACACATCTAAACTGAAAAACGATATGTATATAAGCCATGGAACATTAACCATGAAAAAAAATCAAAGACTTATTTATTTTAAAATAGTGTAGAACAATAGTATGAAATTTCTTGAAATTGATTTGTTCTTTTTACTTTGGTCACAATGTGTATTTGGGAAAAAAAAAATCAACGTGTATGTGTATATGTTTCTACGCACATAACATTTGCATAATTGCAGAACTAAAGCTTTTGAAATTTGAGTCGGTGTAGAGAAAGAATAAATACATATACAAACTTAGTGGTAAATAAAAGTTTCCTAATCGAGAAAGTTATTGTGGTCTTAATCAAAAAGCATAATAGAATTGGTAATAATATCAAAGACTTTTGTTACAAAGTTTATTCATGTATTACAAAGAACATGACAAGTCTTTATGAATGATCACAATGTGTATTTGGGAAGAAGTCACAATCGAAATAACTGTTACAAGCTTCCATAACACTTATATATACTTTTGTGTTTTTGTAAACAAGTTTAATATATGAAAAAAATGATTTCTGATATGACAAAAATGATTTGAAATAATCACACAAGTCTAATATATCCGACGACCACCACCAGCGTCACAACTTTTGTATTATACGTTTAACCATAAACTTGTTAACAACAATAACATTGTGTTCGTCATATATCTTCCTAATATGAACCAAATCTTTCTGGACTTTCAAGAAAAAATTATAATGTCTTACTAATTAAAAAGAAAATACATGTAAAAGGTAAATGAATACAGTATGGTGTAAAGAAAAAAACCGCTAAATTAAAACTGGCTAGAAATATTAACATATGAAATTTCATAAAGGTTAAGAAAACGTGTACGTGTATATGTCTACGCAAATTACATTTTAGAATAAAGCTTTTGATAATTTGAGTCGGTAGGTTGGATGATTGGATCTAATGGATGAACACGACGAATTATATACAAATTTAGTAGTAAGCTTAGTAAATATGAGTTTGCTAATCGAAAAATTTGTGGTCTCAATGAAAAAGCCAAAATAAAAATGGTAATATTATCGAAGACTTTGTGTGGAAGAACAACATCAACACGGAATAACATAACTTAATGCATTTTACCTACACATGACACACACTACAACTAACAATTCTCTATATAAACCACAGAGCTAGAGGATCAAACAAACATTAAGAAGAGCAAAGAAAAAAAAATTAGGCCTAATTAGTCTTTCGCTCTTGTTCAAATACTACCACACAAAACATATCAAAGAAACAATGGTTCTTACAGATGCTGAGCTTCTTGAGCTTCAGGCTGAAATAGATCGTCTCCATGAAGCATTGGCGAAATATGAAAAACAGGAGAAGGTGAAAGTCTTTTACATTTTGATATATATATTTCCATTGTTTTGTGTGTACGAAATATATAATCAGATTTTGTTTTGTATATAAAATAATTAGGATTGGGAAAACCATGAGACTGAGCATAGCGAGGAGCTTCTAGCTGAGATGCTTAGTATCGAAGTAGCAAAATCAATAATTGAAGAACATTTGACGGTAATATATAAATATATATCCATTTAAATGATGATCTTTATTAATTATAACAATGCATCTAATTTATATATATATATATATATATATATGTGTGTTTCTTTTGGAGTGAATAATTGGATTATTGAAATATATTAGGAATTGAAGAAGATAAAATGCAAAGCTATTGCGGAGGTCGCGATGCATCATCCTCTTCTAAAGAAAGAAACAAATTAAAGCTTGATGGGATCATGACAAAAGAAAAGAGAAAAATTAATTAGTAGTAACTTTCATATTATCGTGGTTTATTATCAACCTTAAAAAAAAAAATTTGAAATAATTTAGTTTAGGTCTTATTGGAACAATGAATATGTGGAGTATCTTTGTTCTCAAAATTTGTAGGATTCTCATATATAATCAATTAATAAAGTATTAATCTTGAATCTATATATATAAAGTAAACTTTTTCTCTCTTCTCCTTATGCCACATCATCATACACCTCATTTTATTATTTAATTTTTAAAATTAATTATACAATTTTATCATTTAATTTTCAGATTTAAACCTATATAAATAAGTTTTTCAAAAAGGAATATGAAAGGTTTTTTTTTATTATACATTATAAAACTAAAAAAGATAATTTGTTTAAAAGTTAAAAAAACTTACTAATTATCGATTATACTAAGAATATATAAATAATAGATTATAGTTTTTAGTGAATGTTTAATATATATATATATATATATATATAATTATATTTACACAATGTAAACCTGAATATAATGGGATTTAACGGGAATAGAAAAGAAAGTAAGAAATTTTGAGGATATAAATCTATGTAATTTATGTCTCACAAAATTTTCTAACATAAATGAGATAGGTCGGACCGAAACATCAATTCTCATTTTTTAAAAATGTATAAAACGTAAAAATAAAAATAATATTTCTTTAAAAGTTTCCAATATGAATTTAACTATTTTTTTCCAATACAACACATATGTTAAACTAATAAACAAAATAAAAAATTAACTATATTTCATAAAAATTGAAAATTAAAATAAAAAACATTATTAAATGAAATAAACTAAATATAAAGTAAATTATACTAATATGTTAAATTTAAAAATTGTTCCATATGGAAAACAAAAAAAATATATATATATATAACATAAAATCAGAAAAAAATATATAATAGTACCAAAATGATCATTACGAGATATAATTACAATAAATCCAAAAACGAAAAACATAAAACAAAAAAATAAATTATGACAATATATAAAGAGATAATGTAAACAATTAAAAATACAACAATCCGCCCGTAACCCACAAATCATGTTCAAATTTCATGCCAACATATAAAAGGCATAAAATATTAACATCTAGATCTATATTTGGTAGAAACCCTAATAGCACCCGTTTCTCAATAATTTTTTACCGCACTTCCGTTTACTCCCACACTTCGACTTATACTATACACACTTAATTTCTCAATAACTAATGAGGCTAAAACTCAATAGTTTTTCTATACAAACACAATCTAAGTTTTAAAAAAGTAAAGTTTGGTATAGTGAAAAAATAAGTAGAAAATAAAATGCGAAGCAATTACTCATAAACAACATAATAAAGTCCCGCGCTAGCGCGGACAACCGACTAGTAATTTATAATGTGTTTCTCTCTTCTATTCTGTTTCGAATTCGACTTCCCTCTTTTAGGTTAATGAAACTCCAATTTTAAGATTTTTTCTTAACTGAACAAATGAAATACACATAATGGTCCAATATACAATCTGTGGAGCATAAAGTAATCTAAGACCATATACATTTTCAATTGTCTTCAAATGGTTTTTGACTTCTTTTTTTTTGTAGTGACTTTTTCTAATTAAGGGTCTTATAAAAGAGAGTTACATTATTTCAGTTTCGATTTGTATAACAAATTTAATATTTCTCTATATGTATAAAATTTATAGCTATAGAGATGCATGTGTGTTAAATTTATACACATCAATTGAATAAAGTTTATAGCTAGAATCATACAAATAACTAACTTTTTCTATTGATAAAATTATCAATTAAAATTATTTTTACATACTTGACACAATACATTACATATAATTATATATATACTGGTGTGTAAAATGCTAATTTGATTTTGTAAATTATATAGGATTTGACGAAGAAGAGTATGTAAAAAAAATAAAATCTAAATACGAATGTGACAAAATGATTTAAAATAATCACACGTTTAGTTATTAATACTTTATTAAAAATTGAAAAGTTGTTATCGCTTATGTCCACACAAGAACATGAAAATGTTAACCAACCGAGGAAACAAATACTTTTAATCTTGATCATTACCAACATACTAAATTAAACACATCTAAACTGAAAAACATATATATAAAAAAATCAAGAAAGTGAGTTGACCATGAAATGATAGAAGTTTAACTTATATTGAGAACAAATATTGAAACAAATTCATAGATTTATTTATTTTAAAATGGTGGAGATAATATATAATCCGTGGAACCCAAAATTAACCTAGAAAAATATTTTGATAGTTTTTTTCTATCTACCATTATAATCTTGTCCATATGCATGTTCCGTGACGTATTAAAATCCAGTATGCATGTCACCACTGACTAGTTACATTCTTACTTTCGATCGATACGTTGCAAATTTGATATTTATTATTAACAAATTAATTAATGTTATTCGTATAATAATATATCAAATAAATAACACCTTCATCGTTTCAAGAAAAATTAATGTCCTACTAATTAAAAAGATAATTATAGTACATTAAAAGGTAAATATGGTGTAAAGATAAAAACAGCTAAATGAAAGCTGGAGACGTTTGTTCTTCACAATCACTAAATTAAAAGTTATGAGTATTATGTATTAATAGAAAGTTTAAGAAACGTGTACATGTATATGTCTACGTACGCACATAACATTTGCAGAATTAAAGCTTTTGTAAACTTGAGTCGGTGGTTTGATCTAATGGATGAAAAAAGAATAAATACATATAAACTTAGTAGTAAACTTAGTAAATAAGAGTTTCCTAATTGAAAAAGTTGTGGTCTTAATTGAATATATCGAAGACTTTCGTGTGTGGAAGATGAACAACATCAACACGGAATACATAACTTAATGCATTTCACCCACTTCACACACAACATCTATAATAATTCTCTATATAAACCAGAAGAAGATCAAACATTAAGAAGAACATAAAAGAGAAGAAGAACAAAGAAAAAAACTAGACCTAAGTATTTCATAATTCTTGTTCAATACTACCAAACAAATCAAGAAAATGGATCCTAGAGATGCTCAGATTCTTGAGATTGAGGCTGAAATTGGTCGTCTCGGAGAAGCAATGGCGAAAAATGATGAACAGGAGATGGTAAGAAGTGTTTCATTTTGATGATATTCTTATAATTAATCAATTAGCATCTTTATATAGTATAATTAACTATATTATTTTTTTGTATAAAATAATTAGGAATGGTATAAAAACAAAGCTATCAACGACAAGTTCAATAAAATAATAGCAAGGTTTGGTCCTCCAGCAGGTGAGGCTGAGACTCTCAAGAAGTTTGACGAGGAGATGAACCGTATAATCAAAGCAAAAATAGAAAATGTTGAAAATTTGCAGGTAAAATATCAATTTAGATGCTCTTAATTAAATATAACAATACAATTATGTTATTATATTTTTTTCGAGTGAATTGAATAATTAAAAAAAAAACTAATTGGATTATTGAAAATTTTAGGGTTTGATCAAGAAATTAGGCAAAGTTATTGAGGATCAGGAAGAGGCATCCTCCTCTTCTAAATAAAAGATAAGCAAGCTCGCTCGTTCGATCAGATGAAAAAGTAAAGAAGAATAATTTGTAATTTCACAATATATATTTGTTGTTTACTTAAACTTTCATGTTATTTATCTTTCTTTTTGAAATTTGTATGATTCTAATATACAATCAATAATGAAAGTATTTTCTACTAATTATATTTATATTAATTCTACTAAAGCATGGCGTGTTTGAAAATGTGACTTCTTATGTAGTTCTAGAAAGTTTAGAAACGTGTATGTGTATATACTTTACGCACATTATCATTTTCAGAATTAAAGCTTATGAAAAATTGAGAAAGAAGAAATATATATACAAACTGTAAATAGTAGTTTCGCTATCGAAAAAGTTTTTGTGGTCTTAATCAAAGAGCAAAATATAAATGGTAATATAACGAAGACTTTTGTGCATGCATGGAAGAAACAACATGTAATACTTAGTTATATTAAAAAGGAACAAAAGAGCGAAGAGCAAAGAAATTAGTTCTACATCTTTCATCACTCTTTGTTCAAATACTATGTATAAGAGTTAGAAACAAATTAAATAAAAACCTATATCTTAGTTACAATTAAAAATATAATAAAAATTAACATAATATAAGTAGTAAGAAAATGAAAAAATACTATGTATCCAATTTGTTAAATAACTTTTTTTAATTATTTATTTTTATTGATTAATAGTCATTCTTAGTGATTTTTGTTTTGGACACATGTCAAAATCTAGTTGAGAACACACATATATGATTTTGCTAATTTTCCTTTTAGATTTAGGAAAAGGGGAAATAAGATATATAACTTTTTTTTATGATGAACAAAAATTTTATATAGAACAAAGAAATTTATTTTTGGCATATGTCAACATATGATTAATATACTTGACACATGTCACGATTTTGTATATGGCTAATTTCAAAAGCCAAGTTTTATATAAGATTTAGTAGTAAACTTAGTAAATAAGAGTTTCCTAATTGAAAAGATTTTGGTCTTAATCAAAAAGTAAAAATAAGAATGGTAATATATCAAAGAATTAATGCATTTCACCTACTCAACATCAAAGAGTTCTCTATATAAAATCAAAACAGTGAGAAGAACATAAAGAGAAGAAGAGCAAAGAAAAACAATTAGGCCAAATTAGTCTCTCATCACGGTCAATCAAAACATATCAAGAAATGGTTCTTACTGATGCTGAGCTTCTTGAGCTTGAGGCTGAAATGGATCGTATCCATGAAGCATTAGAGAAACATGAAAAACAGGAGAAGGTGAAAAGTGATTTATATTGATGATACTCATATATATTTCCATTGTTTTGTGTGTACAAAATATCTATAATCAGATTTTTATTTTATATAAAATAATTAGGATTGGGAAAGAAAAGCAGATGGGATTGAGCATAGCGAGGAGCTTCTAGCTGAGATGCGTAGTATCAAAGAAGCAAAATCAGTAATTGAAGAACATTTGACGGTAATATATATATATGATTATTATAAGATTGCAAGTAATTTATTTATAAGCAAAAACAGTAATTGAAGAGCATTTGACGGTAATCTTAATTATTTATAAGATTGCAAGTAATTTATGCATATTATATGTTATTTTTATTTTCTTTTGGTGTGAATAATTAAATATGCTAATTGGATTATTGAAAATTTTTAGGTGTTGATGAAGAAAATACGCAAAGCTATTGAGGAGGAAGATGCGTCGACGTCCTCTTCTAAATAAAGGAATAAAGCTCGATATGATGAAAATAATTAATATATGGGTTATCTTTCTTTTTGAAATTTGTAGGATTCTCATATATAATCAATAATTAAGTATTAACATTGAATAATTTATAATTTATAATTAATGTATTCTCTTCACATTTCCCTCTTTCATGTTAATGAAACTCCAATTTTCTGATTTTTTTTTTCTTTCTAATGTACTTTCTCTAAGGTATTACATATATGTTTCGATGTGTAAAACCCAAAAGTTTATATAGAGGTGCATGTGTGTCGATATATGAATAATTTAATTTCAACCAACTTATTTAAATATTTTATGTATGCTAAGTTAATTTCATGTGCTAGAAATAAGAATCATACAAACATAATAAACAATTAGTAAGTAGTTAATGTTAGGGCAAGAGAAAATCTATTCTGTTCAGACTGTTACATGTATGTTTTAAACTTACTCAGTACGATGCAATTTACTTATAAGTTTCTATTCACAAATTAAAATTTCTCAAAAATTGTTTAGGTAATATAATGAAGACTTTTGTGCATGCATGGAAGAAACAATATGGAATACATAAAAGTAATGCATTACACTTATGCTCTCTATATAAACTGACGAGTGACGAACGATCTAACATATTAAAGAGAATATACATAGCCAAATTTTTGGCATAAATTAAAAAACTAGCCATGTGTACTGTAATATTCTTTTTCTTCGGTTAGAATTACATTTATAGACCATAAAAAGAACCAAAATAACGAAGAGCAAAGGAAATTAGTTATACTACTATTTTTATGAAATTTCATCTTAAGGCATATGAGTTAGAAACAAATTATATAAAACCTATATCTTAGTTAGAATTAAAAATATAATAAAAATTAACATAATATAAGTAGTATGAAAATGAAAACAATGGAAACCAACATTAACTACTATTTAACAAATTGGATACATAGTAGTTTTTTTTTTTTTTTAATTTAGCAAAAAAACTACTATGTATCCTATTTGTTAAATAGCCTTTTTAATTATTTCTTTTTTCATTGATTAATATTCATTTGTAGTGATTTTTGTTTTAGATACATGTCAAAATCTAATTGAGAACACACATATATGATTTTGCCAATTTTCCTTTTTGAAAGATATTTAACTTTTTTTGGAGATGGAACAAAAGTTTGATATAGGAAAAAAAAGATATTATTTTTGGCACATGTCAACATATGATTAATATACTTGACATATGTCACTATTTTGTTAATGGATAACTTCAAAAACAAAGTTTTATATAATAAGATTTAGTAGTAAAATTAGTAAATAAGAGTTTCCAAGTTGAAAAGATTTTGTTCTTAACCAAAAAGCAAAAATAAAATGGTAATATATAAAAGACTTAATGCATTTCACCTATACTTAACACACACACCACATCAATAATACTCTATATAAACCATGGGATGAAACCATTAAGAAGAAATAAAGAGAAGAAGAGCAAAGAAAACAAAATTACGACTACCAAACAAAACAAATCAACAAAATGGTTCTTACAGATGCTGAGCTTCTTGAGCTTGACGCTGAAATGGATCGTCTCCATGAAGCATTAGCAAAACATGAAAAAACAGGAGAAGGTGAAAGTGTTTACATTTTGATGATACTCTTATATATATACTTCCATTGTTTTTTGTGTACTATTGTGGATAACTTCGTATATTGTGTTAAGTTTATCTTCTTATTGTGATAAGGATTAGCAGCCCTAAAGTGTATATGATTATGGCTTATTTTAGAGGCTAAGTCTCTTGTATAAATACACAAGTTCATACATTAATAAATTCAAGTTGGTTCGATATCTAATTCTACATGGTATCAGAGCAGTCGATCCTAGTGGATCAAAACTAAAGGCTTCCGCACTAGAAATTTGTTTTGTGGTCTCAAATTCAAAAGAGATCATGGTGATTCTCACGGGAGAAGATGATGGAGATGAAGATGAACCAGACGATGAAGATGACGTGAAGCAAAAGAAAAGTATGGGTGTGATCATGTGATCTGTTTTTTTTTCTAGAGTTAATGGGGTTTGATGTTTTTTTTAATAGTCACGTTTCAATTTTTCTAT